TATACAAACTGTATATATATATATATATATATATTACATACGGATACAAATATTGAACTACTCGCCGTTACTCCGATTTCTCTCCATGCAGCATTTAGCGAAGCTGTTGCCGTATGCCAAATTCGTTCTGCCCACAGCCCCAACACAGCCTGTGACACTCAACATGGGCATGCGCATGGCATCGTGGTACGACATTGTCGGATTAGACGAACGGTCGAACGAGGACTGCAAAGGTATCGTGGAATCGCGACGCACCATCGAAGACATTCTTCAGACAGAGCATGAGACGAAAGGCCTGCCATACAGCCGCATGATACTGGCGGGATTCTCGCAGGTATGTATATGTAGTTTTTGGGACTTTCTGAATTGCGCTGTTTATAGTTATCGGACAGTGCTGTTGTTTGCCATGATGTATGTTCGTGAATAGTCCTGCGTTTCATCACATTGTGTATGCGTATTGGCACACGGCCATCGATATTCAGTTAGTCTCTTATAATTGTTAACTAGTGTTTGTTTTGTGTCTCTTATATTTGTTAACTAGTGTTTTTTAGTGTCTATTATAATTGTTAAATAGTGTTTGTTGGTGATAGTGCCCCAATGTATTTATGCGCACATTTCGGTGTCACGCATGTACTTGGGGTCATTTCATCCCACTGCGTGCACACACCTGCATATACGTACCTACAAGGACATACTCAGTATCAACGTGTGCATGTGCTGTACCTACAAGGACATACTTAGTATCAACGTGTGCATGTGCTGTATCTACAAGGACATCTCAGTATCAACGTGTGCATGTGCTGTACCTACAAGGACATACTTAGTATCAACGTGTGCATGTGCTGTACCTACAAGGACATACTCAGTATCAACGTGTGCATGTGCTGTACCTACAAGGATATACTTAGTATCAACGTGTGCATGTGCTAGATGATAGCCTCGCGGCCGTGTATATCGCAAGCAGACGTCTCTACACACCCACCCCACACCTCATCTTCATTACATACACATACTTGCCCATGGTACTATATCCTTCTAGCACACTCTCATCGCCACACACACCAGCACTGCATCTCAAAGTACCTACCCACCCATCCCCTCACACCCCATACCTACACACACTCGTAGGGGGGAGCCCTGTCACTGTTCACGGGACTGCAGCAGCCTATAGAGAAGAAGCTTGCTGGGGTTGTGTGCATGTCTGCGTACTTGCCGAGTGCCAAGAACTTCCATGTCACACCCGGACTAGAAGACACGCCTGTGCTGCACTGCCACGGCTTGGCGGATCCCATGGTGCAGTATACCATGGCCGAGAAGACGAAGCAGGAGCTGCTGCAAAGGTACGAGTTGTGTGTGAGTGTGTGTTTGTGTCCGTATCTGTATCTGTATCCGTATCTGTGTCTGTATCTGTACGTACGTGTATATCTGGTGGTGTGCATACATTGCTACGGATATGTATATATAGCGCGAGCCGTGTGCGGTGTTCTGCGCCAGTTGTGTGTTTTGCGTGATCAGCTTGAGTCTGGTTAGCACGTGCACACCCAGACTGGAGAGCACACACACGGTTGTATTCCAAGGCTTACTCAAGTGGCACTACTGCTATCTGGAGAGGTTCTTCGTGGTGTGCTTGTGGGATGATTGTGGTGTCATGGTACAAGTGCAACCGTTCTAGCCGACAACCTCGAGCTCACTTTGCTTCAAACCCGTGTGCTTGTGTGTGTGTGTGTGTGTGTCGTGTGGTGCGGGATGGGCTTATCCGGTGACTATCATAGGCGGAGCACAAGGTACTTCCCAGGTGTGTGCGTATCCATGCTTACGGCTGTCACCCAGTCATTTGCAGTGAACGTTGGCTTTGGGTTGCTGTGTGTGTCTGTTGGTATAGTCGCATCTGGCTCATGCTCTGCACCGAGAAGTATCTACGTACGCGGTAATGCCGCAGAGGCCAGTACCGATTTGGCGCTGTGGCAAAGCGGTATGTGTTGAATCTGGAGACCTCGCCCGGGGCTGAATTGGTTGCCATGGAAACGCCGTTGACAGAGTTGTAGTGCTCCTTTCATCGACTGTGCTCGCCTCATCGCCTGCTGTTGGGATACCTACGTAGCGTGTACGACTGCGATACTCTTGTGTAATGTGTGTGTGTTCATGTCACTCTTGTCTGCAATTTTGTGTGGACTTCCACATTCATAAGGAGACGTAGTCGTAGCACATGGCCACCCGTCTTACCTTGATTGTGTGGCGTGTATTGTATTGTGCCAACAGGGGCCTCACAAAGTATGAGCTGAAGGGGTACCGCGATCTACAACACTCGGTGAACATAGACGAGATTGGCGACGTCACGCGGTTTATTATGAGTATACTACCGCCTGATGAGTCATGTAACATCAAACTGAAAGACCCCAGTGACATGTCTGTGAAGGAGCTCAAGGCTGCTGTGAAAGAGGCGGGTTTAGGTGATAGGGCGAAGGGGTTGGTGGAGAAGAGTGAGTTTGTTAAGTTAGTACAAGTCCACCGGGATGGGAAAGTGTAATGTGCATTAAAAGGATAAACGTACATCTGCATGTAGGTTGCGCCGGCACTATAGGATTACAATACGCTTCTTCACTGAGTGCAATGGTACACTTAAAAATCAGTATGCGTTTATGGCTACAAGACACACTTGGCCCGTTTATTCACTGTACTTCATGGAGACTGTAGTAGCCAGGGACAAGAACCCCCCGTCCGTGTGGCTTGCGTTAGTACCAATCTTAGTATCGAAAAGCGCTTGGTAATGTGGTTCTTGAACTCACAAAAGAAAGAACCGCCGCGAACGTACACAGGATCTAGCAGCATATCACCGCCATCATTCTGACCCATTCAGTGACAGTCAATACCAGTGGTCTGAGCGCAAACAGTGTCTTGTCATCTACGACATTGTTCGTGGAATTCATATGACAGTTGCGATGACATAAATATATGCATACATATATATATATATATATATATATATATAAATAAATAAATATATATATAGATATAAGTGTATATGTATATATATATATATATGTGTGTGTGTGTATACATATATATATATATATATATGGTTTTAGGGGTCTTTTGTACACTACAGTAGTCACAAGGTAGCAGACATCTACCTCGTAAACTCCAGTGTACTGTCTACTACAACTAAGGTCTTAACTACTAAGACTAGTACATACCTATTACCAGGGTTTGTATATTGTACCAATGAAATTGCTCGTATTTTCGTGTCTTATATGACATTCTTAAACCTTTACTAATTAAAAACTACTCGTACAAATTAAAAACTCGCCAGAATAATTTGCACCAATTTTTAAAAACTGTTGATTTATTAATTTTTTGCTGTTACTTTCCTTATTTTTTTTTAATATACATTCAGTCTACACTCTACTACGTACAGTATAATTGTTTTGAAATTAAAGTTGTTGTGTTCAAATTTTATCAAAGAGTCAAAACCGAAGTCTCGGAGTAAACAGATCCTAGGAGGAGTTTAGGTCACTTCTGACTTCAGAGTGATAGATAGAGTGCGTGGACTGTGGCAGAAGTTTCTGTGGTATTTTGTTTTTGTCTTTTCTGATATTTATCAGTCTTCTTGTGGGATAAAGGTCCATCAGCCAATCATATGCAATGATGAAACATAGTCGGTAGATTACATAGTTTTTTTTACAATTGAAAGACGCTGATACCAGTGATAACCATGATTTCTATTATATTGAGTCGGCTTTCGGCACTCGGCAGTGGGCAGTGACTCGGCACACACTCTGCAGTCGGCATCGTGATTCGGCACTTTACCGCTGCATTGTTTTTTTAGCACAAATAGTATATAGTTCGACAAAGTTTTTACATTAAGAGCAATAATACTTGTATACTTTCTTCAAATATTAACCCTGAGTGTACTTTGTATTCGGCAATGAAGGAGAATAACAATCAACTGAATGTGGCACCCATAGAGATTGTCGTATTGGAACCGAACGAATAGCCATCAAGTATTGCACCAGTGAACTCCTGTAGTGCTATTGATGCCAGCGCTCCCACGCAGGTACAGGATGTCTCTTTCTGGAAGGAATCACATGAGCCGCCAAGGCGAACTGTGACAAAGAGAAACTTTCCCCTACTGCTTTTCTTCTACGTACCCATCATAGGCTTCTATGTCGGGATACATTACCTGGCCAAGTCCTTGGCGGTGCCGCCTCCAAAGGGCTATAAGCGATGGCAACCACCTAAAAGTGACATGATGATCTATTTCTCGGTCGTCGCAGGATTCACCATGATATTGTGTGTGGTTACGCTCCTGATAATTTTCAAGTTCATGAATACACCGGTCATTCATAGTAAGCTACCAACATTCATAGCACACAATAGCTCCTGCCTGTTGATAATACCTCCGCTCACATACTTCACAAACCTGTTGACAATACACTATGAAGCTAGAAATAGCTATGTCCGCTATATGCAAGCATTAAAGCTGGCGGTAGTAGGACAAGTATGGGCTGCCCTGAGTAACAGGGTGGCGATTATGTATATGGTACTGGCTAAAGGAATCTGCATTCCAAGCTACAAACCGTTTTAAGTCAAATCTATACTATTGTCGTCAATATTCCAAGTGGTGCCTTACACCGTTGTTATGACAGTTTCATTCCCCAAGTACACTGGAATAATCAAGTGGTGTGCTGTTACATATGTATTAGTCACTTTGAGTGAGATGAACTGGTATACGGTGAAAATGCGCGGGGGTTTCACTAAGTTATTCCTAGACTATGTAAATGTCATCCGGATGATGGTTATGCAGGCAGCGATACTGGTTGTATCCCTCTGCATGTTCCATTTCGAGAAATACGGTAGGGCGTTCTACCGATTCAACGCATCAATGATTCTCGTCTGGCAACTTGTGTTCGAAATGCTTGGAGATCTTGTGTGGAATGAGGTTGCACGAGCCTGTGGACTTGGTGGAATTTTAATCAATGAGAATATGCTGATCAGTCCGGTATATGATTTGATAGATCCACGTGGGCGACTTGATTTGCTGATGCAGGACGAAGAACTTTACTCCATATTATTGGCCATAGCCCGTAGAAGATACATGGACGAAAACTTCAGATTCATGAAAGATGTTAGGCAGCTTCAGAAAACATTGGAAACACAGTACAATATGCCGACAAGCAAGCAAAAATCGAAAGGTAATGATGACATCAGTAGTCGTACCTTGGGAGTGCTGGATAACTGTATTATAACAGCCGTGCATTGTCCAGTAAATCTGCCTTCGAAGATTATAGGACCGTTGCGTGCAAGGAGAAAACAAGTCGCAGAACAATCAGTTTTAATGAGCCAGGTGGAGAGTGAAATGCATACCCTCTTATTGGCGGCATACTCAGAGATTGCTCTACTGATACATTCGTCGCAAATATTGAGGTTTTTCTCCAGAGATGTTGAGGTGTGCGCCATATTGAAGGGAAGATTGGATAGGTTGAACACATTATGTGGGACTGTTGCAAGATTTATTGCACCGCCACATGAGGACTTATGAACTATCAGCAGTTAAAGGCAATCTTCATAGCGTCTGTGATGTCCCAGATGTCTAATTGTACGAGCACGGTTGAGTTTTATTAATGAAGGCAGGTACGAATCCACGTTTTTGGCAAATATTCATTAGATATTTGAGACACAACCCTGTTTCAAATACATTACTCTCGAGTATATTTTGTCAGACAACATGGTCATGTTTCCAAAAGCTGCATATTCGGTCCCACATAGCATAAATCAAGGATATATCAACTATTCACCAAATCAGGGAACTGTGCTAACAGATGTGCTCCGCAGTCATTGCTATGACAACCACACTCACGAGTCTGCGTTCGTTTATCAGGCTATAACTGGTATCTCCAAAGACAATCGTATATTCTGAACGCAACTGAATTGGGTCATCTTATAATTGTATGTCACACTCACATAACTGCACCGTTTAGGATTTTGCTTCATCTTAATACGCGATTGCTCAAAGCCCAGCACGCACACTATCCAGATAAGCACATATAGACAATCAAAGAGCCTCCAAGCGGTAGCGGTGTGCAAAATGTGCCCTGCTTAAAATCAATCACCAGCAATATCCCTCTCATTCCCCATCGGCTTTGCCCCAATCATCTGATTGTTAGGTGTCAAAGATAATGATAAATGATACTACGAAGTGTTCAGTGCCCGGTATTAACTGTCTGCGATAAGGACGAGACATAAGCTCTATTGAGACTGATGATCTTTTAGTAAACTCTTTTATTTGATATATCATGGCCACCTGAATTATGTGCTCAAATACATAAATAAAAGACGCGCTTTCTGCCTCGGCCAAACAAGTTTTCTTCTTATTTTATATACCATATGTAGTGTTCTATTTTCAGAAGGCTATGACCATAGCCAACTGAAAAAACATTAACATACTCGAGTAACTCGAGTCCTCGCTCATTGCTTTACAAAATTATATACACACATATACGTACATATGTAATTCTCGATTCCTCGGACATAATATTTATTTATTTTTTTACTACGCACACTATACATACAAAACCGTTTTTTTATTTATATAAATAAATGATACTCGAAAGTCGAAACAAATAATAGTTATTTACATGTCGTATATAGTCTACTTCCTGTTAGTTCTACATTCTAAGCAGTTACACGCACGATATACCGCCCTTGCAATACTATCTATTTGCGAACTTGTACTGTGCTTTCAGCCTGATTTCTACCAAGGTGTGTGCCTCCGGTATTACTTGCTACTTTGTTGCACGTGTTATTCAACTGAAGCTTATACAAAGGCAAAGGATGATATATATATATATATATATATATATATATCTGTATTCTACCAGTGTGTGCC